CCCGCCCCGCCCCTGCTCAAAGACCCCCGTGCCCGCACCACCCAGGGCCAGAAGCTGGGGCCAGCGCGGTACAGCAGGCGCCACACCATGCGCCCCCCCCGGCCCCCACCCCGGAGCCGCCCCTCATCCCGCCCGGGCCGCCAGCGGCCGGGGACTCACTTGTTGAACAGGTTGAGGCCGATGCGGTAGTGCCGCCGGCGGATGATGTCGTTGCTGAAGGTGGGCGAGTCCCAGCTGTTGCGGGTCTCCTTGTGGTAGGTCTGCTTGCTGAGCGTCTGCTCACGCAGGCTGTCACGGGACGAAGACTCGGAGCTGCAGTTGATGGTGTCGTTGGAGTTGGATGTGCTGTTCAGGCTGTCGTTGTCCCCATCCGAGTAGTCCGACTCGGACTTGCTCTGCCTGTTGGCCGAGCCATTGATGGCCAGGTGGCCGTCCAGGGGCCTGGGCGCCCGGGCCCGCGGCTCCGGCTCCTCCCGGGGGAGGCCCCTGGGGGGCCCATGGGGGCCGTGCTTGGGGCTGCCCTGCAGCCCACCCAGGCCGCGCTCGTAGGCGCTCTGCCTCTTAAGCGAGCTGCGGTCCGAGCGGTCGCTGAGGTCCACGGAGCTGTCGCTGGGCGGCTCGATGGTGAGCAGCGGGAGGTGCTCCCCGCGCAGCCGCGGCTCCTGTGGCCCCAGCGAGGGCGTGCTCCGGCAGCTGGTGTCCGTGTCCCCCTTGTCGTCCTTGTGGGCCAGGGCCCAGTAGTCCTGGGCAGCACCCCCGGGCCGCAGCCGCAGGTCCGACTCGGCGCTGGACGGCCGGCGGCCCGCCTGCATCGGGGGCAGGGGTGGCGACAGCTCCTCCTCGTCGATGTACAGGGTGACGTCGCTGTACGAGGCGGTCATCTCGTCCAGCTGGCGGTGCTCGGCGCCATGCAGGGCCGGCGAGGGCTCGGCGTCCCGGGTCCGCCCCACGTCGGGCGCGGGGGCCCCCTCGGTGTGCAGGCTGCGGCAGTTGAGCGCGTCGTCAATGGACTCGGCCAGCGACTTCACCTGCCGTGAGAAGGCATCCTCCAGCTCCGTGATGGCATCTGCGAAGTCACCGGCCGGGGCAGGGGCCTGGAGGGCAGGCGGCGGGCCCAGGTCTCTGCACTCGGCCGGCACCAGGGCCTCCAGCGGGGCACCCTTGTCGGTCACTGAGACCTGCTTGCCCTCGAAGTAGGAGCTGTGCACCTTCTCCGGCCCTTCGAAGGAGAACTGCATCCTCATGTTGGACAGCACGATGCGGCGCGACATGCGGTTCTCGGACATGGAGCTGCGCAGCCGCTCAAAGTTCTTGTTCATCTGGTACTGGCGGAAGGCTGTCTGGATGGTGCGGGCCGCATGGCGGGTCACGAGGCGGCCCCCATACTTCCGTTCTAGCATCTCCACCTGCGGGGGAAGCAGAGGAGCGTGAGGACGGCCCAGGAGGCCCAGCGCATCCCAGGGGTCAGACCCAGTTAAAGCAAGTGTTCCCTGCGGGACTTCCCAGAACCTTTAAAGGGTGGTGGTTTCCCAAAGTTCTCTGGCCACAGTAGCCTTTGGCCCTGGTGCGCCTGGGGCGTGCAGTTGAATGAGACTTGGAGGTGGTGGAAGACGTGCAGGCAGCCCCTCCAGAGAGAGGAAGCCCGCGCGGCAGGTGCAGGTTAAGAAACCGGCCCGAGGGGCTTCGCTGGCAGTCCAGTGATTAAGAATCCGCCTCCCGATGCAGGGGACGCGGGTTCGATCCCTGGTCAGGGAACTAAGATCCCACACGCCGCAGGGCAACGAAGCCCACGTGCTGCAACTACTGAGCCCGCACGCCACAACTAGAGAGAAGCCCGCGTGCTGCCATGAGGAGCCTGTGCGCTGTAGCAGAGGATCCCGCACACCGCAAGGAAGATCCCACGTAACGCAACTAAGACCCGACGCAGCCAAAAATATAAATGAATAAAAGCGAGAGACGGGCCCGAGACCCGAGCAGGCCCTGGGCGCTGAGCACTGGCCGCAGGCCTCCAGCCCCGCTTCTGCCTGCAGCACTGCCCGAGGGCCTGAGTCTAGTCCTGGCCCTGCCCTTGGCAGTGGAGTGACTCTGAGAAGCCTTGGACCCTGCGGTTGCTCAGTCCCATCAGACAGACCTCGCAGGGCAGCGGTGGGCACAGGTGAGACAGGCCCTCGGCACATGCCAGCTGGGGGCTGATTAGGTGCAGGACCCTCAGCTGCACTCCTGGGAGGTGTTTGTGGGACAGTTTGTGGGGGGCCCCAAGTCCCCTCCGTGACAGATGGGGAAACTGAGGCCCAGAAAAGAGGCCCAGCACACCCCTGGAGGCCTCCAGATGCAGAGCAGGCTCTGTGAGCCTGGCGGTGGGGCCGGGACGCAGGCAGGCAGGGGTGCTGGGACTCCCACGTGCCACGTGGGCCTGTGAAGTCCTAGGCTCATGCTGGCCGAGGACTCCGGACAGCCCCCAAGGGCCGCTCCCCGTGCCTGCTTCCCGAGTGAGGCCAGAGCCCGCTCTTCAGAACCCGGGAAAGCCCGGGATAAGGAGCCGGCTGGTCGGCCAAGCCGAGCCCTTGGGTGCTGGGCAGAGTGGCCCCTGATGTGGGTGGAAAGGCCTCGGGTCCCTGGGAGTGAGGCGTGCTCACATCCCGAGGGGGCAGAGCACCGCCGTCCCACACCGGTGGCAGAGGGACAAGGTCCCCACCCTCAAGAGGCCAAGGCGGTCCAGAACAGGGGCACATGCGTCACTGAGCAAACCCCAGGCCGTGGCTGAGTGGGGCAAGACGGCTGCTCAGAACCGCCTGAGGGGGGGCCGGAAGGGGGAGGGGGGCTCCGAGCCTCACTCAGGACTCAGGGTGGGTCCTGGTCTCCCTGAGCGATGCCAGCTCCCCGCCCCCCGAGCCCCGCCCGCGACACAGACGTGCAGCTCGCCGGGGCCCACAGGAGGGGGAGCGGCAGGAGGGGCAGAGCGGCCCCTCGCACGAGAGGAGTTGGGGGGCGGGGTGAAGATCAAAACGACTTTTCAAAGCCCGGCCCTGGAGTCAGCCAGGGCGGGTCTGTTTTCCCTCTCGCCCTGAAGTTACCCACCGACCGGCATCCAGAGAGATGACCTCACTTCCGCATCTGTGAGCAGCGTCTGTTTTCTGGGTTTGGAGTGGCGCTCTGAAAGCGCACGGCGCCGACACAGGGCCCACGGCTGAGCTCTGGGAAGCCCTCTCCTCTCCGCCCTCCAAGGCCGGGGCTCTGGGCCCCTCGCGTGGGGAGGAGGAGGGGCACCGCACAGGTCAGAGCGCGCGCCACAGCCCCTTGTCGCCTTCTGACTCTGGATCTCGCGACCCCAGGGGCGACACTCCTGGCTTGAGACCGTCCCCCAAGTCTGGGTGGGGACAGGAGGGACTTCGGGAAGGCAGACGTGGGCTCTGCGCTGCGTCGGCAAAGCCCCCTCAGCCCCTCCTCCCGGCCTCCCCCCAGGGGACACACAGACCCAGGTCCTCTCCTACTCAGCTCCCGGGCCCACCGTGGCCACTCGTTCTTCCTTCCGGGCCAGAACCAACCCAAGGCCCAGTGTGAACGCTAACTGGGGGTGCAGGGCAAGGACCCCAACCCGTCTGTGCTCGCCTGCTGGGCATCACTCTCAACTGACACAGCGTCTGGCCTGCAGAGGGACCCCAGGAAGCCCCCCGCCCCCTGCAGAGGGGGGCAGAGGCTCTGACAAGTGAGGGGACGAGCAGCTGAGAGGCTCACCCTCCCACAAAGCTGAAGTGCCACCCTTGCCAACTCAGGCCTCCTGCTCAGACAGGAAACTGCCAGGAGGTGCGGAGGCTGAGGGCCAGCAGGCACTGCACGACCTTGCACTGGGCTCCTTCCACTAAAATGGGGCTCTGCGCCACCCAGACTCTACCCCCTCGTGGAACCGGGCACCCTACCTTCATCTGGAAACTCCTGGGTCATCTGTCCTGTTCCTGTTTTCACCTTGACTGCCAGGAGGCTCAGCAGAGAGTCAAATGCTCGGTGGCCCTCAGCATCACCTCCCCACCCCTCCCCTCTTCCCGGCCATCCTTCCCGCCAAGTGGTTCTGCCTCTGGCCTTCGTGCCTGCTGTTACCTCTTCCTGGAAGACCCCGTCCTCAAACACCCAGGTCTGATACCACCTTGGAGAGGTCCCCCACACCTCATCCAAGCTGTCTCCTCCCACAGGTGCTCGGCTTCTCTCCCCTCTTTCTTCATCCCCGGAGTTTGTATCACGCTCTGGAATTAACCTGTGTCTTTACTGTTAATCTGTCTCTGGACCACAGCGTCTGCTTGAGGGCTGGGGCTGCACCCCGTCCCCTGGTGCCTTCCCCGGCGCCCAGCACGGGGTCTGGCACACGGTGGGCATCGGGCTAATGTGCGAGGGATGAAAATGAACAGCTGTGGCCACATTAAGGCTGCAGGAAGCATGATTACCTCCACAGGCCTCTCTGAAGTTTTAACCTTTCCCACTTCTATTTTAATGGTCCTGCTGCAGACGTTTTTACTATAAACTGTTTTTGATCCACTTTGGATACGGGTGAAACTGATAAATGGAACAGAGGCCCCTGCCGTGGGCCTGGCCACGAGGCCAAGCGCCACGAGGCCAGGGGTCTGTTTGCTCCCCAATATTTGCCTGACGGGGATCATCTGCTTCAGGCTCTGGCCACTTGCGGGCCCCGCCCCCCGTCAGTCCCAACTCACGGGCAGACAGATGAAGACCAGGGCAGGCAGGCAGGGCTATCCACGGTCACAGGGCAGCGCCAAGAACAGGGAGAGGGGGCCGGTACGGACCGTGTTGGGGGGAGACCCGCCCTGGGCAGTACCCACACACCGCACCGCTCCCCGCAGAAGTCTGGGGCTACACCAGGCCCGGACCTCTGCTCTGTTAAGAGACAAACAGTTAGACTGGGGAGCAAACAGAGGGTCCAGGCCAGGGTAGGTGTGGGAGGTGAGAGGGCAGAGCGACTATCTGCAGCCTGGCATCTGAGGGGCTGCCGGGCAGGTCCTGCAGCCAGGCCAGGGCAGAGGCAGCCGCCCGGGCTCACAAGGAGACTGCCCACAGCTCAGGACACAGGAGCTGGGGACAGCGACATGCAGGCCGGCCCCACATGCCGGCACAGCTGCTTCTGGCAGCCTGGGGGTGCTCCTGAAGCCTGGAGCTTTCTGTCAGAGCTTCACACAAGAATTCTTAGTACAGTGCCTACTATGTGCCTGCACTCTGAGGGGCTGGGAGTGAGAAGCCTCTGTCCCCTCATGAGCTCTCACTCCCTCTGCCCCCCACCTGCCACCCAACCGGGACCCCTCCCCTCTCTCCCATCAACCTAAGAGGCCAAGCGGGCAGGCCATGCATGCCCGTCGCTCTGTACACACGTGCCAGCGCCACGGTGGATCTGGGCCAAGGCTCCAGGGAAGAGGGGCAACCTGCAAGGGGGCGACGGCCCCCCGGACACGGGGCTGTTCACTGAGGGCTGGAATGAACAGCCTGGCCTCACTGGCTGGGGACGGGCTCGCTGTTCGGTTCAGAGCACGTGCTCTTTCTGTGAACTGACTGACCCCTCCCCGAGGGCCCCTCCTGCAGACCTCCCAAGGTTCAGCTCTCTCCTGGATCCCAGGACCTCGACGGCCGCCACGGAACCCACGCGCACTGGCGGCACCGGGGCCTGATACCCAGCGTGGGCCCTGGAGCCCAGTGAGGAGGGCTGTGAACCGGGCAGAGGCCGAGGCCAGACAGGAACGTCCCACATCGGCTCCCTCCCTCGGAACCCTCCACATGTCGGGAGGAGCCAGCCCGGGATGAGGCAGAGGCCACGTCCGCGGGGAACAGCCCCTGCCTGGGCGCGGCTGTGGAGCACACGGGGCCCCCCGCGGCCCTGGGCGGCCCCAGCAAAGGGCCGCGTCGTCCGAGGCCGCGCAGGCACCGCAGCCTCCCCCAACCCCCAACGCCCCTCCCCCGTGGCCCGCGTGGCCGGCGCCTACCTGCTTGTCCTGCAGGTCGGAAGAGAGCTCATAGCTCTCAGAGAGGGACCGTGAGCGCTTGATAGCCTCCTCCTCGGCCTGCTTGCGCAGGATGGAGGTCGAGTGCTGCAGCTTGGGCCTCCGCGTGCGCTGCTGCCCGGGCGGCCCCGCATACAGCCCATAGGCGTCCGCTGGCGTGTGCTCCGAGTGGTCCGGGCCCAGGCCGGAGCCGGGCGCCGAGGGGCCCTGGTGGTAGGCGGAGGGGCTGTCCAGCGACGTGCCAGTCTCGCTGCTGGGGGCCTCGCCCTCGACACTGCAGAGAGAGGACGGGCCTCCGGTGAGCGGGAAACCAGAGCCCAGGGCCCCGCAGGTGTCCCCCCACCCTCCTACAGGTGGTCCCCAGGGGTGGCGGAGGCCGAGGGCCGTGACCCTCGCCTCCCCTTGCGGTGATTCCACTTTCTCTGTACAGCTCGCCCCTCCTCACAGCCAACACCCCTCCCTGAAGGACCCTGTTCACTGTGCGTCTCCCACGGGAAGGTCGGCCCCGTGGGTCCACTGACGAGCCCAGGACCTCAAGCGGGCCTGGCCCAGAGCAGGTGTCTAGTGACATTCACTGACGGACAGCGGGTCCCGTCCCCTCCACTCCCTCACTCCCACTGCCTGGTTTAAGTAAACCACTCTTTTTTTAAAAAAAAAAAAAAAAAAACAATAATTAACAAAATGAGTCTTCACTGCATACCTACGGGAGAGTCAGGCATTGTGCTGGTTGTTTGTTATGGGCTGAACTGGTCCCTCCCCACCAACATTTGCATACTTCAAGCCCTAACAGCCAGCACCTCAGAATGTGTCTGCATTTGGAAATTGTCTTTAAGGAGGTAACTGAGTTAAAATGAGGTCACGAGGGTCCTAATAAAACTGACTGGCGTCCCCGAAGGCGAGATTAGCCCTCCAGAGGACAGATTATTAACCCCTTTTCCAGGTGAGGAGACTGAGGCCCACACAGCACAGGCCTTGTCCGGGGTTGCACAGGTAGAATGTAGGTGAGTTGGGATTAAAGCCCAACACCGGGGGCTCCCCTCCACCCCACCACCCTCATCCCAGGCCTGTGCAGATCCCTCAACCTTCCAAGTGCCTGGTGGGGGGACAGAGGGGTGGCTTACTCATCCCGAACTCATGACCTTAGAAGACTTGGGACACAGAGAGAAGGGAGAAACGTGCAACCGAGTTTCTGGCAGCTTCTGGCCACTCTCCGGTCCATCGGATCCCTGGGGCCAGGGTGGGGTCCCTCTGGAAGTGGCCCAGAGGACAGAAGGGCTCACAGACCCCGTGAGCTACAGTCCATCCTCCAGAGTCCCGCCTTCAGAACAGTGGGAACGCCCTGCATTCAGCAGCCTCTGTGACGGTCCCACCTGCCCAGCTCCGCTCCCACTGTCCCCACGGGTCCCAGGGCCAGCAGAGCCAACTGCCCAGCGTGTAACATGCCTCCTGGGGAGGGGGCATGGGCACGGAGGCCCTGGAGCAAGCACACCCCAGCCCACCTGGCTGTAAAGCCCAGCACGTGCTGCCCGGCAGGCCATCTAAGAAGAGTGCAGGCCTTCCGCTCTGGCCCGCAGGGACACACAGCGGGTCTTCTGCAGCAGAGGACATCCCAGCTGGTGCCCAGGAGCTGGGGTGTGATGAGGGTCCTTCTGCGGGGAAGAGTCCTGGGTGCCTGGCCTCAATGCAGCTGTGAGTCAAGGGCTCACGCTCATTGCAAGGCCTGGCCCCTGTCCGTGACCCAGGTGGGCCGCTCTCGGTGCCTCAGGCCCACCACCACTCGAGACCCTCCTGGCCGTTCGTGGTCACCCGGCAGCAGCTTCCTGGGGGCCTCGTGGGCCTGTGTGGGGTGGTGGACAGGGACGGGCAGCACTGCAGACTCTCCCATTCTCCTGATAAGGCCCACCACCCGGGACAGAGAGCTGGAGGGGAGAGTGAAGGAGCCCACGGGCCCCAGAGGCGATAGACGCCCCAGAGGTGCCCGCGGCCAACCGGAGCCCCGGCCTGCGCCACGCCTCCCCTGGAAGCACTTCTGTCAGAGCCTCTTTTGTCTTTCCCAGCAAGAGGGTGACAGCAAACAGAACCAGGTCCTTGAGGAGAAGCAGCCGGGGCTCAGTTCGCCAGGATTTTAAATCGCCTCTGAGCCCTGAGTCTGCAGAGGCCACGGAGACAGGGCGGGTTCCGTGCAGGTCCGAGCGGGAAGTCCCTCCGCGCCTCACGGGCCCCTCCTGCTGGGGGCCTGGACTCTCCCCCAGCGCCCGACGCCCCCCGACCAAGGGGGTGTCCACCCTCACGGGGAAGGGGCTTGGCCCCTTACCCCTACCCCGCCCGTGCTCCCCTGATCTCGGAGCGACGTGAACGGGTGTCAACAGGTGAAAGGCCGTCCCCCTCTCCCCCCACAGCGGGCCAGGCCGGGCCAGTCTGGGGCAGAGGGAGCTGGGGAAGGACAGGCAGGGGGCTGCCCCCGACCCACGGCCGTGCTCTGCCCTGTGCGGGGGCCAGGCCTGGCCGCCCGGCTGAGCTCACAGACGGAACATATGAGCGGAGTCCCTCCGTGTGGAGGCTGGGCCCCGGCAGGAGGGGCGCACTCGGGATCGCATGGGGATGGAGGTGCTTGGGGGACGCAAGGGCTTTCTGGGGCTGTGCCAGCCCGGGGCTCCTGCTCTGCCCGTGACCTGGCTCCCGACCATCTCGAGCCAGCAGGTTCCAGAAGGTACCTGGCGGAGAGGGCCGGGCCTCCTTGCAGGCCAAGAGAAGGGCTTGACAGTCACCTGCAGCCTCCTCTCCCCTGGGAGCCCGACCTTCGAAACACCCCTACCTGCCCACTTGTCAGCAGGTGTTCCAGGCCACAGCCACCGCAGCTCCCCGGATTATCACTCATGCCCCCGCCTTTCTTCTCCCCACGGCAGTCACAGCAATCCTGACCAAACGGGAGCCACATCGAGGGCCTCCGTGCTCCCCGTCACACTGGGAAGACACCGTCCTTCTTGCAATGCCCTCAGGCCTGACCTCGGCTCACCGCACTCTGGCCCCTCTTCCGCTTTGCTCATTCTATTCCAGCCTCACTGGCTTCCTTCCTCCCTTCTCCAAGGGGCCAGGCAGGCCTCAGGGCCTTTGCCCTGGCTGTTCCGTCTGCCTGGAACGCTGTGCCCCAGATCTTAGCACGCACCACACCTTCACCTCCCTTGGGTCTTTACTCAGTGCCACCTTCCAATGAGGCCCCCACTACTCCCCCGAGTTAAAACCACGCAGCCCTCTCCCCAGCATCCCTAGTCCCACACTCAGTGGTCTGCCCACCAGCACGCCGTATAGTGCGATGTATTCTTCCTGTCTTTCCTTTGCCGTCTGCCCCCCACATCAGTATCGGAGCTCCGTGAGGACATGGGTCATTTTTCTGCGTTGCTGGCTGACGCTCCCCAAATGCTGACACGTGTGCCAGACTAACAGGGCCCAGTGACACCTGCCGAGGGAGTGCAGGCACTTCCGGTCCCGGAATGTGGCTTCTTACATCACCCCCGTCGGTACATCCCACCTGCCCCAAACCTAACCGGTGACGGTTGCCCATCACCACGCAGTGATGGAGCCAGAGTCCTGAGCTGAGTCACCAAGTTAGTCCCTCCCCGACGGCCAAACCCCCCTTGGGGACAGATGGAATGGGGCCTCACCCCATTCCATCTGTCACCAAGTCCTGCCGAATCTACGTGAATGGGGTCCCTTGAGCTGTGCAACGTGGCAGCCCTTGCACGCCCCAAATCCAAACCTCAAACCATCCCGATAAGAAATGGCCAGGCCATCCTACTGCAACCAGCATGACTCACCGTCCTCCAAGAAATGAGCGGACAAAAGCGAGCAGAGCACGTAGTGTAAGAACCCGTCTTGAGCCAGAGAACATCACTCCTTCGTGGTCCCAAACACAAGCGACACAGTATTAGACACTGAGAGAGCCTCCTTAACCAGAGCCAAACCCCTGGTGAACACAAGGACAACGTCTGACGTGAAAACGCCTGCTGATGACAAGCACGGGCAGCAACAGATGGTCTCAGGACACGCTGCTCTAAATATTTCAGGGCAGCAGCTAGACCTGGTCATTGACCTTCAGTCCTGCAGATGCGTGACCTGAACCCATGGAGACGTTTACCCACATCCTGGAGCTCAGGGCTCGAAGCCCCTCTGTCCTGGTTAGCACTCGCCTCTGCCCCCTGCTCCTTCCTGGGGGAGAAGGGTCTGTCCCCTGAGCAGAAGAGGCACCCCACGGCAGGATGCCCACTGCAGGCTGCCCCAGGGACACAGATCTCTGGCCCGGCTCCCAGCCTGCCGTGCACACCTCTTCCTCGCCACCATGCTTGACAGATGGGAGCTCCACCTCTCGCCACCCAGGTCCTCTTTCTCTCTTGGGGAAGCTTCTCCCAAAGCCTTTGTCCACCAGCCAGGACCGGACACCCCTCAGTCGGTCCTCAGCTGCACACTGGAATTCGTGATCACGCACAGACTCCCGGGCCATGTGCAAATCTAGGAATGGCAGGCGCCGTCCCAAGTCCCTGCCATTCCCTGACAGTTTAGAGTTTCTGGGACGTTCCAGGACCGTTAAGGCTGGTGCCAGCACTCTGAGAAAACGCTCCTGATCCAGCAATCCCTTTTCTGGAGATTCACGCGAAGGAAATAAGACCAATACGCAAAGAGGCGGGTACAAGGAATTCCAGCGCAGTGTTGTTTCTAATTATAAAAACTTGGAAATAATCTAAATGCCTGTCAACAAGGGATTGATTTAAATTAATTATATATCAGTATACTGGAAACAATGTCAAGATGGGGGAAGGTTTAGCTTGATGGCTGTTCTTATGAAAAAGACTGGGGGACCTTTTTGGCTGACATGAGTTTAATACAAGCCGAGAAGCCAGTCACTAACAAGAACGAGTAAAAAGCCAGAAGCAGACCCAGCCCTACTGTCCATTACAGGTATTGGATCACAGCGGAAGACTGTCTGAGCCCCAGATGGGTTCTTAAGCCTGGGCGCTTTTGCTCCCACCTTCTCCCGCCAGCCCAGGGCAGACATCGCTAATCCATCACAGACTCCCTTCTGCACGTCTGCCAGCACGGCGCACCACACGACCGCGATGGACGCCAGCTGGGGGCGAGAGAGGCCCCGTCTGCCAACCCCAATTATAGCACAAGGCGACCTCCCACCAAGGGCTGAGACCGTGTAGCCAGGAGAACAGCGGCCAGAGGGGATATGAGGCCTGCGGTCAAGCCTCTGACGGGCTGACAGGCAGAGG